AAATCATAGAATTGGTGACCAGGGTCCTATTTTTGTAGTAACTCTTTCCATTGGTTAGCTCAGGGTTCAAGTACTACAGTTTATTGATTGATTTATCCAGATATACTCAATTATTGGCATTTTACTTAAATTTAGTACATTTTAATTGAGAGTGCAAGAAATAGGCTAATACTGTATGAAATACATACTAATAAAGTGCTGTATTCTGCAGTTGGATAGTGTGGAGTACAAATCTCAGCTCCTCCATTTACCTCTACATGACTAGGAGAAGTTACCTAACCTAAAGCTTGGATTTCTCATCCTATATAATAAAAAGGTAATATGCAAATTGATCCTAACAGTGGACCAACTGGGAATAATCAGTTGCTATGACATGCACTGACCACCAGGGGGAAGACACTCAACACAGGAGCTCCGCTCAGCCACAAGCTGGGCTGATGGCTGCAAGCACAGCAGTGGTGTCAGGAGCTTCTCTGCTACTCAGCAGCACTAACGATGTCTGACTGCCGGTTTAGGCCTGTTCCTGGACTGCAGGAAGGCACAGGCCGGGCTGAAGGACCCCTCCCAAGTGCACAAATTTTGTGCACTGAGCCTCTAGTCTCTCTATATAAAAGCCTAAGCAACCATTACAATTGAATGACTGAAACGACCCGTCGACCAGTTGTTATGATGTGCACTGACTATCAGGGGGCAGATGCTCAATGTAGGAGCTGCCCCTGGTGGTCAGTCCCTCCCACAGCTAACCTCCTGCAGCCAGCCAACCTCTCATGGTCCTTCCCCCTTGCCAGTCCCTCCCCCAAGCCAGCCAGCCAATCTCATTCAGTCCTTTCCCCTCAGCTGGTCCTTGCCCCTGGTCAGCTGGCCAACCTCCTGTGGTCCCTCCCCTGGTCAGCCAACCTCCTGTGATTCCTCCCTGTCCCTTCCCCTGGCCAGCAGATCCCGATCGGCCCAGCCCCAATTGGCCTGATCTACCCTGGGTCCCGGGTTTGATTCTGGTCAAGGGCACATGGCAGGGTTGTGGGCTCCATTGCCAGTAGGGGGAGTGTAGGAGGCAGCTGATCAATGATTCTTTTGCACCATTGATGTTTCTATCTCTCTCTCCCTTCCTCTCTGAAATCAATAAAAATATATTAAAAAAATAAATAAATAAATAAGTTGCTCCCGAAGCACTAAAAGACTTAAGAATTATGGCTGACTTCTGACTTTAAAATAAGTAAATTCTTTACCTAATGGATGCCATCTGGGTAAGAACTGTCTACAAACTGCAGGGTGGGAGTGAAGTTACACCCAAAATTCCAATCAGGGTGACTTAGGTATAATTTTTGGCATTATCAAAATTTTATAACTTAATAAACTCAAATATAATCAATTGTATCACATGTAATTTCCTAGAGAAAGATTATGGGAATCAAAAGAAGATTGGTTAGCCCAAAATAAGAACATCAACGATCGAAAAATTCTGAGATGCTCTAATTAAATTACAGTGGGCCACAGAGTGGGAGAAAAAGATAAGGGTAATTATCCAGTTCATAGCTGTGGTCCAACTAACAAAAGACTGCACACATTCCTGAATGTATGTCAGTTTTGGATGCACTTCCAGGAAGCTATCTAAAAAGAAATGGCTAACCTCCAGAGGCTACTGCATCCTGCTTATGAATGAACCTTCCTGACTGTTGCCCACCACCAATCAAAAGTAGCAAATTTTTCTTCCTTAAGGACTGTGCACCTGTCCTAGAATTGCCCCTGCTTCATCCCCTCCTCCTCTAGAGCCAGTGTAAATTCTTTCAAAGCAACATACATCTTTAAAAGAGCCCCATCTTACTGTTCTCCTCAACAGAAAGTCCATAATGCCTTATTTCATACGATAAAGATATTCTTGTCTCTTCATCTGGCTTTGCTGCTGGTGTTTTGGATTCTATGTCCCAGGACCTGATCTTTTTTTCTGGCTAGCCTATGACTCAATACCTCTTTCTTTCACAAAAGCTTTCGGCCTCGAAGGTGTTTTGCTTAACAACATAAGGCCTAAAGAACCAGAGGTTGGCTGTCTTGTTGAACACTGTACAAGGAAGGAGACCCTGTGATTTGTGGACTTGCATTACTGTTTCTCAAACTTTATACTTACCCAAGCAACCTTTTAATTATCTTTTGACTTCTCAAATAACCTGACTACAAGAACAGGGCTTGCCTGAACAGTGATGTTTACATTCCAGTTGGTCTGGTAGTTCCATATTTTATCAGATGAATAAAGTAGCATCCTGGCTCAGGTATCAGTCCCTTGCAATAATGAGCAGCATAAACCAGGTTCCTTGGCTCTGATCAACTTTAGGTACCTGATAGAATGAGGTTTCCATTTCAGAAAGACTGAACACCAGACCTGAACTATGTTAAAGAAAGTTGTTAAGGTCCTAGCTGGTTTGGCTCAGTGGATAGTGTGTCAGCCTGCGGACTGAAGGGTTCCAGGTTCGATTCTGGTCAAGGGCAAATGCCTGGATTGCAGGTTTGATCCCCAGTAGGGGGTGTGCAGGAAGAAGCCAATTCTCTCTTATCATTGATGTTTCTCTCTCCCTCTCCCTTCCTCTCTGAAATCAATAAAAATATACTTAAATAAATATATATATGTATTTAAAAAAAATAAAAAAGCAGTTAAGATCATCCTTGTGAGACAATCACCAGCCTTTCCTGACAACACCCCCATTTGCTGTGCACTTCCAGTACACTGACAGCATCTCCTTCAGGGGATTAAATGCGCCATCATATTTACTATCATCTGTCTCTCCTGACTACAAATGTAAGCTCTCTGACACTGGGATTTTTACCCATTTTGTTCACTACTAAATCCTAAGTTCCCAGAACAGTGCCTGACATACAGGGAACCCTCACTAAATATTTGTTGAACAATTGAATGGAAAAAAAAAGAAGAAAAAAAAAAAGGTAAACCATTAAGACTAATAGTCTTGGCAAATAAAATTAAATTCAAACTTTCAAGTCAAAAGCCTGATGACATATTGTCCACACTGACATGTTGAAAGGAATACAGTGAATAACTAGACTAGACAACATTTCTTTGGAGCAAATCACCTGCGGAGTACTTTGCAGTTTATAAGCATTTCCCCACATATCCTCTCATGTGATTTATTCCACATTCTAGAAATACTCTCTCAAGGAGACTAGAGCCCTCCACTTTAGTGTTAACTTTAAGTCAATCCCCTTCTCATTTTTCTATCAACCTTCAGTTATGTGTTCTTACGTCAATAAGAATTCTAAACACCCAGATCCTGTGGAAATTCTGAGACTCTTCTCAATCCTAAGCACAGTAAGCACATAATATGATAAACTAGTAAAATTCCTTTGACTATGAATAGTAGCAGTGGAATAAAATCAATAATAGCTTACATTTGTAAAACATTATTATGCTAAGCATTTTACATGGATAACTCCTCATGATAAGTTAGTGCCCAAGGTACCATTATTCCCTCCTATTTTGCAGATGTGAAAATTACAACACTGAAAGTTTAAGTGACTTATAGTCATACTCCACAACACTATTCCCAAGTACTGTGATATACTTTAAATCAGCATTACAATTTTTTTTGTCCTTAAGGGGGAAAAAAGATACAAGCAAAAAAGATATCAACATGCCATAGAATGAAGTGACTAGGAAAAGAGCAGAGGTTTTAAAATCAATCTACATGTTTCCTAAGCACCTACTTATGTGTGTAACACTATTTAAAGAAGTATGAGACACTCTGTCTTCAGGGACTTTATAATATGGTTGAAAATAGATAATAAATCACTAAAGGAGAATGTTTGTATAGTTTTAAAAGATGTGTTGTCCCACACATTACCTTGCTTGAGTCTTACCAATAAGTCCACAGGACCTAGTTCACAAAAGATAAAGAAAAGTGAGGCTCTGTGGAGTTAGGCAAGGTGGCAAAGATAATAGAGATAGCAGATAGCATTGCTAAAATTTAAATGTTTATCTTCTAATTCTAAATTAAGCTAGGTAGAGATGAATGGAGGCCCAAGGGTGAGAAGGCAGAAAAAAAAATGGTAGCAGAAAACAAAAAACAAAAGTAGAGATCAGAAAAATGAGAGAAAGTCAATATACAACAGGGAAATCAAAGGAAGACAACTTCAAGAAGGACTTAATCCTTCTTGCTCTGGTCAAGAAAAATAAAAATCAAGGCAAGGGTTCCCGAGAAAGGATATTTTTAGCAAAGTATAACTTTGTTATTATATTTAAGGAGATAGTGTTCAAATTATTTGTTATAAACATGGTACTATTTCCAAAGTGCTCACAAGAGTTCTTGATACATGGTATGTATAATATTACATTTCCAAAATAAATATAACAACCATTCCTAATATTTATTGATTATATAGTAAGACAAAAATCATATATATAAAAATATCAACATGGCCTTAGCTGGTTTGGCTCAGTAGACAGAGTGTCGGCCTGCAGAATGAAGGATCTTGGGTTCTATTCTGGTCAAGGGCACATGCCTGGGTTGCAGGCTCGATTCTCAATAGGGGGCATGCAGGAGGCAGCCAATTGATGATTCTCTCTTATCACTGATGTTTCTCTCTTTCTCTTTCCCTTTCTCTCTGAGATCAATAAAAATATATTTTAAAGATTCTTTTTAAAAAATCAATGTCTGTTAGCTATTTTTTCCCAGTGGCTCCTTTATTTCAATACCTAGGGAGCATGCTCCAATGCTTCTGCTAGCAGATACTAATAGTTTAATCCAACTAAAGGAGCAGAGTAACCGAGGTCCTCAAAGTCTATTAATTTACTTGCTATAAATTACAAAGTTAAATTTATACATTACACCAAAACAGTATGTTACTATCTGAAAACTTGACAGAAGAGGAATGCTGAGCAATGTATAACTGTAACATTATGATTTATAGTCTCATATATTCAGAATTTAGAAAACATGAATTTAAATTACATAAGCATGGACTTACTATTTAGTTAAACATTCAATAACAAAACATACCTCCTAAAGCCCCACTGTAATCTAGACTTTTCTTTTTAAAGCCATTTGATGCGATCAAAACAGGAACAACAACAGAAAACAGCCAACGCCAAGGAGAAATAGGCTGTAAGTTACCTGAAAAATTATAAAGATAGAGTATAAATTGTGTGAAGCTTGCATAGATTAGCCATGGCTGTAAACATTGATAACTGCATTCTATATTGAAATACTGTCCAAAGTAGGGAAACTGAAATAAAGTCACCAATGTAAAATATTTATGTTGAGACTTGATATTTTCAGAGGCGATAACCAAATAAGTCCTGTTCAAATTTTGGAAGAGACAATTATTTATAGTAATGGGTATTTTACACATAATTGAATATTTAAAATGAAATTTTTTTTTTTTATTTTTTTTTTGGAGAGGAGGCATGTATTAATTCTCAAGAAAAGCATACAACAAACTCCTTTCTAATAGGATTCAATTATTCCTCTCTCTGCCTTTCAGAGATTTTTTTTTTAAGTAACATTCTCACATGCTACATATCTCAGGATTCAATGATTAAAAACTGATTTTTCCAAAGATTGCAGCTCATAGACAGATGTTTTGCTTGGCTAGCATAACGTTTTAAAACAATTTGATGTACCAAAAAACAAACAAACTAAAAAACCAAACCCAAAGAATAAACAATGAATTAATATTTAAAGATTAGATTTCATATAACAATCCAGATTCTTGGCTTCTGCCTTGTAAACTAGAAACTTGAACCATGTGGCGGAATTGACTATAGGTGACGAGAGGCTGCCTCTTTTACTTTTTAAAAAATGTTTTTATTTATTTTAGAGAGAGAGGAAGGGAAGGAGATAGAGAAATAGAAGAATCATAGATCGTCTGCTTCCTGCACGCCTGCTACTGGGATTGAACTTGCTACCAAGCATGTGCCCTAACTGGGAATCCAACCAGGGACATCTTGGTTCATAGGTGGTTGTTCAACCACTGAGCACACCAGCCCAGCCCCGCAGAGGCTGCTTCTTTTAGATGAATCATTGTTTTCCCGTTTGACATGCCCATCATTCCTGACAGGCTCCCTAACACCAAGGCTGAGTGACTACAGTAAAGGAAAATGTGAACTATTGCTTGTGCCGATATTTCTGTCAAAAATAGGAAAATGAAAGGCGAAGGTCAAATGTTCAATAAGAACAACAACAAAAACCCGTGAAAAAGCTATTTCTGAGAGAGAAAACTATTCCCTTGTGTTTAATATACAAAGACCGGGACAGTTCCACTCATTTACATCAGGTGCCCGGCTCCAGGGGCCCTTCAATTTACAAATCCTGTTTTATTCTATTGAGTTCGTCATGGTTAATACTGTTACTAAGAATCTCCTCTCTTATCTCTCCTCCTCAACCCCCCATCCCCTACTGTGACTCATTATGATTGTCAATCTAAGAAATATTCAAACCTGTGAAAAATTTTAGTGAGTTTATTTGAGCCACAACTGTCGACAATTTCTGGGAAACAAAATCTCCACGGATTGAGATTATGCTCCAGAGAATGGCAGTTTATACATTCAATCAAAAGAGGAGGCATAAAGTGGGTTACATGAAATTCATTGGTGATAGATAGGGAGGCGGGAGAAAGCAAAGTGGGGAAACGTCTGGGATTGGATAAAAAGTAAAATGATAGACACATAGTTTTTTTATTTAGGTGGGTGCAGGATGGTTTAGTTAACAATTAATGAAATAACAATAAGGGATTTGTGGTCTCTGCAGAGTGGTGCCTGTTCTTTGAGGGTTCTGGAAAAAGGAAAATTACTTTGACATTCCAACAAATGTTACTGTAGATGAAAAAAGACAACAGACAGGCTCAGTTAAGGTAAAGATTGACCTTTGTTAGGGAAGATGCTGGCCGAGGGCATGACTACACACCACAAACTGCTTTTAGTATAAAAAGTTTTAATTTCAGCCCAGCAGGCATGGCTCAGCGGTTGAGCATTCACAGTGGATTCCCAGTCAGGGCACATGTCTGGGTTTTGGGCTCCATTCCCCTTTGGGGGGCATGCAGGAGGCAGCCAATTGATGATTCTCTCTCGTCACTGAGGTTTCTGTCTCTCTCTCCTTTCTGAAATCAATATATATATATATATATATATATATATATATATATATATATATATATATATATATTTTTTTTTTTTTTTTTTTTAAGTTTTAATTTCAGACCATCCTGTGTTGTTACTTTAAGGCCACCATGCAGGTCTTCCCTGAGCTATGCCAGGTAGCATGTGACCCCTTTTCGTCTCTATGATGACCAGCCCAGAGTATTTCCATACCCTGGAGAATACCATTCGATTATTAATGTGCCTCTGAAAGAGGACTAAGATCTGAACTGGTAATCACTTACAATATAATCATTTATGAGTTTACTTTCTCACTCTATTTCTCATTTTTCTCCTTGAACTGAATAGTATTTTTATTTTTAAAATTTATTTATTGATATTTTACAGAGAGGAAGGGAAAAGGATAGAGAGTTAGAAACATAGATGAGAGAGAAACATCAATTAGCACACCTCCTACTGGGGATGTGCCCACAACCAAGATACATGCCCTTGACAGGAATTGAACCTGGGACCTTTCAGTCCGCATGCCTACGCTCTATCCACTGAGCCAAACCGGTCAGGGCAGTATTTTGTTTTTATAGAAGTACCAAAGAAGTTTGTATAAATACATACTCATGCTCTCATGCAGATGCAAAACCTTAAAGACTGAGTCCCGAGTGGCCCCAGACTTGAAAAGGACTGTTCTTTTGAAATGACCACACAGCAAACAAATCCTCTAAATCTCCAAATATTAAACACTATATTTTTTTCCCCACAGGACAAATAAAACTGATAAACTATATTATGAATATTCTTACTAAAAGTATTACTTTATGTGCTTTACAAAAAAACTATACTTTAGTTATTTCTCACCCAGATAGATGTAATAATGACATAATTACATATTCTGAAATAGATGTAACCAATGTTATCACAAGCAGCATTGATTAAAGGGTTCAGAATATAAAGACACTGTTTATACTTTCTGGGAAATTAAATCCAGGCTATGGAAGTTAAGTAAACACGATTTCTAACCAACTTATATTCGGAGGATAGAAGTTTTGGGTTTCACAAGGGTACAATTTTAAATCCCACCGATTAGTTTATTAAAAAAAAAAAAAAAAAAAAAAAAGAACTCGGAACATTCATACTTACCATAATAGGTGCTTGCAGTCATAGACAAAATCCAGAAAGCTAAAGAAATGCAAATGATCAGACTCAAGATAACTATATTAGTTATCATCTTTATGTATTTTTTGCATATACTGTCATCAAGATCGGTCATGAAAAATAAAGAGGTGAGCAACTGGGGAAGAAAACCGAGAGCATTTCTGAGAAAAAGAATCATTTAAATTGCTAACAAAACACTGGTGTGGAGGCGAACATAAATGCCAGCATCTTCCAACGATCAAAACAGTCACATATAAAGGCGGACTTATTCCTGGCGACTTGCTGGTGGAGAGGTTAGCGATCCGCTGGTCACACACACTGCACGCTCTCAGGGGGGGCCGGCTCCCCGACGGCGGTCCCCGCGGTCACTGCCCATCCCGACACCCCGGGCAGGAAGCAGGAAGGACAGCGGGAGCAGCCAATCAGCGGCCGCGGGGAGGGCGAGCTCCGCTCCCACCGCCCGCCCACGCGCCGACGCAGTGGGTCGGAGCCTCAGAGTAGGCGGAAGTGGAGGTGGAACACGGACCAGTCCTGGCAACCGGGCCCGACCAGACAGAGGGCGGTCACGGTCCGGCGGCCGCCCGCGCCGCCCGGGAGTCCAGATCCAGGCCGCCAGCCAGCGCCGAGGGCCTGGGGCTCCCGCATCTCCACCGCCCGCGGCTCCCCTGGGGCCTGGGGCTCCCGCATCTCCACCGCCCGCGGCTCCCCGCCGCGCGCAGGCGCCGTGGACGTCGCCGCGTTCACTGCGCCTTTAAAAGGCGGCTCCGAGGTGGTGGGGCTCCGGGCTTGACCCGCTGCGAGAGGGCTGCTGCGGCCCCGACCTGGGGGGCTCGGACCTGCGGGGTTTGGCCAGCCCCTAGCAATACTGTTGATATCTGGGATCTTATGGTTGAGGACCCATGGGAACGCCAAAAAGTGAAACCACCACCGCCTGGGTAGGAACAGAATAAAGGAATGCAGGTGAATTTAGACCCCCTAAATCCATCCTAAGCATAGTATTCAAATACTTTTCCATCAGTGAGGAGTTAACGACATATTATGGATTGGGCATGGCATATAAATGTGCTGTCAAAGGGAATTTTATGATGCGCAAAATAGTTTAAAATGACATTTAGTACCTGTTAGGTGCTGGCTGCCATAGATGGAAAGATAAAGCTGAGCTCTCCCATTATTGTCCTGTGATCACTTTCAATGTGGAAAGCTGCTCCCACACCTCGCATTTGAAGTGTGTGCCTTCAGGCATTTCATTTTGAAAGCAGAATGTCTTGTTACCAGTAACAATCCAAATCTCGTGGCTGATTTTACGTTTTGCTTGAAATAAATTTTGTTTGCCTGTAACAATCACAAACACAATGTTACCCTGTGTTTGTGATTAAGTGTAACTGATACTTGTTACATTTTCAGTTAATAGCTGACAATGTAAGAAGAGCAGGCAAGTCAGTTTCAGACATAGACCCCAAATGTATTTGAACCCACTAAGTATTTAAAAAACAAAACAAAAACCCACACACTATTTTAAATCCAAATATACATGCCAAGACAACTTGACACCCTTTCCTTTGTTGAGAGACCTATTTAGCTAGTTAACTGAGAACCAAGTCTGTGAAGCAGGACTGCATGGTAATGGCCTTCCCTTACTACAGACTACATGCATATGTGTCCACTCTTCTTTTCAGTCTGTTCTGCACAAATAATTGGATAACCTCAGAAAGCGGACTGGCCGATATCGGTGATATCAAACAATTACTATTATTAATAGTATAAGCTAGTATCTTTTTGGTTTAGCATATTGACTTTGTACCTTCTTAGACAAAATTATAAGCCAGTCTTGCTTCCCTGCTTTGCCCCACACTTAATCACAAACACAGGGTAACATTGTGTGAATCTGAGATTTTTATGTCAAACAGAAAACCATGGGCTAAGTATTTTTTTAAAACACACTATTTTAAATCTAAAAATACATGCCAAGACAACTTAACACCCTTTCCTTTGTTGAGGGACCTATTTAACTAGTTAACTGAGAACCAGGCCTCTCCTAACAACACTGTCGGCCTAGTTCCTGGGTGTCAGGGATGATTTTCTCTTTCTCGTGACTCTCTGGCTAAAATTTCATTATTAAATCATAAATAATAGTGCCAATGGATGACCCGTCAAATGAATATTTCACTTTATTTTTTTCTCATTGTCCAATAATTGCTGTTCTCCATAAATTAGTTATTTTAGCTTATGGCTGAAATAGTTCGGGGGGATTAGTGTAGTTAGGATATACTGTTTAAAACACACACACAAAAACCACCATGATTTTTGTAATGATGGCCAGAGGGAGGGGAAGGGGGCTGGACGGAGGTGAGTAAAGAGGGGAAATGGGGGACATTTGTAATAGTGTCAACAATAAATTTAAAAAAAAAAACCTATGACTTTACAGTCTGATAATTTTTATAAACTTTTAACAATCTTAAAAATTTCAACAGTCTTTTATTATTTACTTTAAAAGCCATTTTCTAGCAACAGAGAATTTCTGTTAAGCATTTCTTAAACTATATTCCTCAAGATATTAGTAGGTATGCTACCCACTACCTCCACTCCCCACTCAATACGTGTGATCAAATTTAAAGTGGAGGTATTTTGTATACTCCTAAGACTGTGAGGTGCATTGTTAACGGCTCTGAGAAGTTAAGAAACTTGAACATCTTTGTTTAAATCTTTCCAACAGAGTTAATGCCATTTTACCAGATTCATTCTTTTCCCTCAGAAAACACGAGTTTAAGAATTTCTAATTAGAGCAACAGAATTAAAGTTCATTATTGCATTAATAACCATTAAATGTTACAATATAAATATTTGTTTATTCTTTGACAAACAAGTTTGGATTTTTCTGGGATAGACATTTAGTACTTAACACCAATTATAACAATTATACCAATGGCAAAAAACACCTACCATTGCCAGGAGAGTATCAATGGATTCTATGTGCAATTCCTTTGAATCTAAGCCAAAGGAGTGGCTTAGATTTTCTGAAACCTAATATTTGAGTGCCTAATATATATGTTAGACCCCAAAAAGAAAAAAACAAAACATCTACATACACTGGCTTGAAGGAACATCTATATCTGTATCTATATATATAAAAGCCTAAGCAACCATCTAACTGGCCGACCATCCGATAGCTATTATGTGCAATGACTACCAGGAGGCAGATGCTCAACACAGGAGCTGTCGAGCTGCGGTGACTTGGCAGCTGAGGAACCACAGAGGAGGTTCCCCGATTCTGGGGTGTGTCACTAGGAAACTGCCCTCTCACAATCTGGGATCCCTCAAGGGATGCCAGAGAGCGATTCCCACAGGCTGAGGGACCCCACTGGCACACAAATCTGTGCACCGGGCCTCTAGTACAGAGGTCAGCAAACTGCGGTTCTTTGGCCCCTTGATTGTGCTCTTCCACAAAATACCACAGCCTGGGTGTGTATTTTGAAGTGGCGTTAGAAGAAGTTTTAGTTTAAAAAATTTGTCTCTCAAAAGAAATTTCAATCGTTGTACTGTTGATATTGGGCTCTGTTGACTAATGAGTTTGCTGACCACTGCTCTAGTAGAAGATAAAAATAGATATGCAGACAATTACATTACCCAACTTATGTATAAAACAGGATTCAAGGAGTAAATCACTTAGGTCACTTTGGAATGTTAAAGCAGTGATTTTCAACTGCAAGATTTTTTAAAACAATACCTGACCATTTTCCTGTTAGATTAAAAAAAAAAAAAAAAAAAAAAAAGACTGCAGTCAACACAACAGCCAAATGCTGTGAATGAGTAAAAACTATACTTTGTGTGTGTGTGTGTGTGTGTGTGTGTGTGTGTCAGATTGACCAAAAATATATATTTTTGGTGTGCTGCAGAATTTAAGTAATGAATGTGTGCCATGAGATGCAAAAAGGTTAAAAATTTATGTCAGAGAGCGAGCTTTAGAGCTAAGGCTTGAAGGATGATAAGGAGTTTGTTGTTACCAAACAAGTAAAAGGCAATCTGTAAAGGTATGGTGGTTAAGAAGAACATGAAAACAGGAAGTGGAAGAGAATGGAAGAGTTAAGATTTGAAATATTATCTAAATAATTACACTGACAATCTGAGAGATAGGCATATACTATCTGCTTTCTTGACATCAAACACAAAGATTTTTAAAAAGTTATTGAGCACAGTTGAGGCCTAGGCTGTAAATTGAGGACTGATGTTGAATTAGTCAGCTCATTCTATTTTTTTAAATAATTTTTTTTGTTCATATTATTACAAATGTTCCTTTCCCACCCCCTCCTCCATTCCTCTCCTCCACCAGGTTCCCACCCCACCCTCTGCCCTTTCCCCACCCCCCATTGTCCTCATCCATAGGTGCACAGTTTATGTTCAGTCTCTTCCCACATCCCCCTTCCCCTTTTCCCCAAGAATCGTCAGTTGACTCCCCTTCCATACCTCTGATTCTATTATATTCACCAGTTAATATTGTTCATCAGATTTTTTTAAAAATTTCCTTGGTTTTTAGATTCACTTGTTGATAGTTATGTATTTGTTGTTCATAATTTTTATCTTTATTTACTTTCTCTTCTGAAAGAACCCCCTTCAGCAATTCATATAATTCTGGTTTGGTGGTGATGAACTCCTTTAGCTTTTTTTTTATTAGTGAAGCTCTTTATCTGACCTTCGAATCTGAGTGATAGCTTTGCTGGATAGTTTATCTTTGGCTGTAGATTCTTACTATTCATCACCTTGAACATTTCTTGCCATTCCCATCTGGCCTGCATGGTTTCTGTTGAGAAATCAGCTGACAATCCTATAGGTGCTCCTTTATAGGTAACTACCTGCTTAGTTCTTGCTGCTTTTAATATTCTCTCTTTGTCTTTTGCTCTTGGAATCTTAATTATGATTTGTCTTGGTGTGGTCCTCTTTGGATTCCTTTTATTTGGAGTTCTGTGTGCTTCCTGGACTTGTAAGTCCAATTCTTTCCCCAGGTGGGGGAAGTTTTCTGTCACTATTTCTTTCAGTATGTTTTCGATATCTTGCTCTCTCTCATCTTCTGGGACCCCCATAATTCTGATGTTGGATCGTTTGAAGTTGTCCCAAAGGTTTCTTACATCATCTTCAATTTTCTGTAATCTCTTGCCTTCTAACTTCTGCAGAGGAGTGTCTTCT